CATACAAACAAATAATTGAATTTTTGCAAAATTTAAAAAAATAAGTTAATTTTTGAGAATAATTTTATAATTGTCTTTAAAATATAATTGAATTTCTGTGAAAAATTTACTATTTATTGATATTATTGAATTCTTTCGGTGAATTTTTTAGAAAATGTTTAAAAATAATTTAATTTAATTTTCAGTGGAGTTCAATTAAAATTGTATTTAAAATAATTAAATTCCAGCGAAAATTTAATTATTTTAAAAAATAATTGAATTCTTGAATTGAATTTTATTAAAAGTTTTTTAAATAATTGAACTCCTGTGAAAAATTTAATTATTTTTTAAAATAATTGAATTTTCTCGGAGAATTTTTACAAGATTTCTACAAATAATTGAATTTTTGCAAAATTTAAAAATAATAAGTTAATTTTTGAGAAGAATTTTATAATTGTATTTAAAATAATTGAATTCCTGTGAAAAATTTACTATTTATTGATATTATTGAATTCTTTCGATGAATTTAAAAAAAATGTTTAAAAATAATTTAATTTTCAGTGGATTTTTTAAATTCTATTATTTTTAAAAATGCTAATTTTATTTTTTAAAAAAGGCAGTAAGAAGTTAACAGCGCACTTTAGCGCGCGAATTGTTACTAGTAATCAATAAAATGATTGGAGTTTACCTTTATAGTGTTTCAGCGAGAAACACAAAATTTTTAAATTTTTTTGTAAATAAACTATAAGTCAGGTTATTGATCAGAAAATGTCTAGCAATAAATTTAAAACTAAAAATTAAGTGATTTATGCAGATACGCAAAATCTAGTGAATGTATATAGTTATAAAGACATAAAAAAAGACACAAATATTTTCTTTAAGAGAAGACACGAGAAGAAAATTTAGTGAAACTCTATATTCTTCTGACATTCAGCAAAACGTATTATTTTCCATTTAGTATTTATCCATAATACGTTTACTCGGAAGCATTTGAAAATTATAGTCTACATTTTAAAGTTTGCATTAGAATATTGCAAGTTTCTAAGTAATTTTGTTTATGCACTGCTCCCGTTAAAGCAACTTAATTGTACCTACTCTTTTACAATGTCTTATAAAAACATTTACTTTTTAAGTCCAAGTTGCGATAAAATATGAGTTTAGAAATCACTCACCATCAGTTTTGTTTTTTTCTCTTTCAATTCTTTTCATTCTGAAGAAAAGAGCCTATTGATTTTACAAAATTTCCACGAAATTACAATAATTCAAAGTACCAAAAATCTTATTGAACAGCTATAATTTCACAGATCAATTGTCTGTAGAATCTTGAACAATAAAACGAAAAATTATTATTTAAAAAAAAAAAAAAAAAAAAAATTAAAATTTTCTAATTTAAAAAAAAGTTGTAAAAATGAAACAGAATATACGTCTCTTTATTCTCCTTGTAAATGTTCTAATGATTGTTTAATTACGAACATAAGTGTTCTTAATTTTCAATTTAATGAATATGACGTAACTAGCCGAAAGAGATAATCGAATGAATTACAATGTCATACTATATAACCAAAAAGAGAAAAAGATGTCAATAGCTTTAAACAATTCTAATGATTTAAAAATAAAAAGTTGTTGAATGATTGTAATTTGTGAAATAACATTAAGTGTCATTTAAAATCGAGAAATCTGGTATATTCCAATTATATGGCAACTGGTATTGAGGTTAAAGAAAAAATTGCCATTTGATTCATCGACGCCATCAAACATTAACTATAAAATTATCTCAACTTTATAGTGTTTAAAAATAAATATTAATTAATTTTCATTCTTCATCCTAGATTTAAAGTACATATTATTGAATAAATGAAAAAATTTTATTTTTCCAAAAATGTTAATAATTCAAATTCTTCTTGTCAAAATAGAAATTATCTTTATAAATAAAAAAATTCTTCTCCAAAATTCAATTATTTTCATAAATAATAAAAATTGCACAGGAATTCAATTATTAACAAATTTTTTATAAATTTCTTCGCAATAATTTAATTAATTTCATAAATAATAAATTTTTTTTATGAATTCCATTATTTTTATAAATAATAAATTTGTTTTAGGATTTTTATTATTTTCATAAATAATAAATCTCATCGTAGAATTTTAATTATTTTTAGTACAATTTTAATCGAATTCCTCGAAAAATGTCATTATTCTTAAAATTTTTATTAACATTCGTCAAAAGAATTCAATTATTTAAAAATTTGTTGATATAATTCTTTATAAGAATTGAATTTTTAAAAAATTTCAATTATTCAATAAATTATTTACTTTTCTATTTAAATAATGGAATAATTTTAAAAACGTTTTAAATTAAAATATTTGAAAATTTGAATTTTCAGTACTTTTAAAGGGCAATTTTGGGATTTTTTTTCATGGGAATGTTTCTAAATTTATAGGAAGTTTTCGATAATTTTTTGAGCAAAATTCCCTTATTGTCAAAGAACTTTTTCAAAAATTATTTAAAATAGTTGATTTAGAGAAGAATTTTAGTTAAAAATTCTAGAAAATAATAATTGAATTGAAATGATGAAAATAATTATTAAGAAGTTACAGTAACAATATTCTTAATATAAAATAATGATAATACTTTTGTAAGTTTAATTTTAAAAGGTTTAAAATTTTTAATTTTTGAAAATCTTAATTCCTGTGGAAAAATAATAATAAGGAATTATTTATCTCAAGAAGAAGTTATTGATGTTTTCGAATAATTTTAAAATTAAAGAAATTCGTAAATAAATGTAGCAGAACATTTTTTTGAGTAAAATGTTTTCCTTTATTTTCTAAAAATTTAAAAATTTTCAATTTTATTGTCAAAATAAAATATTGAAATAGTTCCAGAATTACAAAAGACTGTCGATGAAGAGAGTTTTGTAAATGACAATTGAAATTTTAAATTCTTGCGGTTTATTGCTATCATTGTTGTGAATAATCTATTGAGAGATTGCAAGGTGTTTCCGTAACTCATATACACAAATGCACCTGTAATGCGAATCCGGTGACGCTATTATCCATTGTAACACAATAAGCCAAGTGTCGTTCTGCTTTTATCATTTTATTTTACAAAAAAAAAAAAAATTCTCTAATTGTGAATATTTTTTCTACTCACATTTTTTTTCTAACAATTTTTTAAGCACGAAAGTTATTAAAAAGCGAAACAAAATATAAAAACAAGGAAGCAAGATAAATTCTTGTGATGAATTTTGATATTTATCAAAATAATTGAATTTTGGAAAAGCATTTTATTAAAATTCCATAGAATAATTGATTTTATGGGAAGAATTTATGCGATTTTGTTGTTTATCAAGCTAATTGAATTCTTTTGCAAAATTACTTAAAAATTTTTGAAAATAATTGATTTTCTGCAACGAATTAAATGTTATTTATGAAAATATTTGAATTATTGCAACAAATTTTATGGTTTTATTGAATAATTGAATGTTTCTTAAAATTAAATTCTTTCCTCAAGTTTTAATAAAATTGTTAATAATAATTGCATTTTTCAAGCAATTTATTTAAAATTGTATTAAAAATACTTAAAATTCTGCGATGAAAATAATTGAATTCGTAAATGAAATTTTATTATTTATGAAAATAATTGAATCTTTTCGTAGAATTGTATCAACAAGTTTTTTCTATAATTAAATTTATTGATAAATTTTATGAAAATAGTAAATATTTAAAAACATTAAATTGCGAAAAACTTCAAAATTATGGAAATGTTGCAAAGAATTTTATTTAATTTCTTGAAAATAATTGAATTTTTGACGAATAAATTTTGCTATTTATAAAAATAATTGAATTCTTGACGAGATATTCATTAAAATTTATAAAAATAATTGAATTCGTGCAAAGTATTTTATTAAATTTTATTTAAATAATTTGAAATTTTGCCAAGAATTGAATTAAGATTTGTGACAATAATTGAATTCTTGAGAAGAATTTTGATATTTATTAAAATAATTGAATTTTAGAAAAGAATTTAATTAAAAATCCTTAAAATAATTGATTTTATGGGGAGAATTTAGTTGATTATCAAGATAATTGAATTCTTTTGCAGAATTACTTAAAAATTATTAAAAACAATTGATTTCCTGCGACGAAAAAAATAGGGGAAATTTAGTGGAAATTTTCAAAATAGGGTACGTTTAGGGACAAAATTAAAAAAAGGGGACTTTTAGGGAAATAGGGGACAGACTGTGAAGTCTGAGAGAAGAATGAAGATTTAGAAAAAAAACACAGCGTGTTTTTAAATAAATCACCTCGGGAAAAACTTAATTGATATACTTTACTATTCTGAGATTTACACTAATTTAGAAAATAGAGACTTTGGTAGAAAAGTGAAGTTGTTCTCAATCCTTTTCAGAACAGTTAAGTCATTGCAAATCGAAACGCTCTCTTTACACGTCTTTATGAATCAGTAATAATTGCGCGTTAGCCCTTGGGGCTTATATTTTTAATTTGTATGAATGAGAAACTACAACTCATCCTGCGAAAAGATTTTAAATTACTTTTTTTTAAAAAATCCTTTCTCTCTCTTTCTTTCTTTATATGTTAAAGAAGGAAAAAATGACATCAATTTTTCAATGGGTAAAATGAGCTGTTTGCAAAAAACATAGAACATTACCAAATAATTTGTTCCTCGTGTCGAAGAATATTAATTCCAGAATATTTTTGCGAGGTCTTAATTAATTCAGGAAAATCACGACCGCAATTATTCATCGATCTAATTGCTGGCCAATTATAGTATTTAAAGTTTAAAGTAGCTGTGTCATGTACAGATTTATATTTAATTTATAAAGCTCCTTGAGAGTATTTATTTGTATTTTTTAACCTTGACTCTCTGTTCTTTAATTTTATATTTTATTGTCATTATCATTTTTCAACATTTTGAAAAAGTTTAAGAATTTATTTTTCTATTGCAAGAATGATTCGAAATGTTTGCAAGTTAATTAAATTATGAATTAAATAAATCTTACCTTCACTGGTTTTACGATATCGTAGTGTCCTTCTGAAATTCTGGAGTCGTAAATGTTTGAAGAGGGCGAATTCTGCTTCCTGTAATAATAATAATAATAATATCAGTTGACATAACACAAGGCTCGAACCAGTGAAAGTATTTAAAAATACGGACTTTACGGACCAAAAATAAAAAATTACGGACTTTACGGACCAAAAATGAAAAATTACGGACCATTTACGGACCAATTATTACTGACAAAAATATAATCAGTCCGAGTTATAACAATTTTGTTACTGCAACTTCTTCAAAATTATTTCCAACATTTCAATTCAATTATTATTTTCTAGAATTTTTAACTAAAATTCTTCCTTAAACAATTATTTTTAATAAATTTTCGATAAAGTTCTTTGACAATTTTCAAATTCTGCAATGAGTTTTATTATTAATGAAAATAATTGTATTCCTATAGAAAAAATTTTATTATTTATGAAAATAATGAAATTATTGCGAAGAAATTTATAAAAAAATTTGTTAATAATTAAATTCCTGTGCAATTTTTATTATTTATGAAAATAATTGAATTTTCGCTGGAATTAAATTATTTAAAATACAATTTTAATTGAATTCCACTAAAAATTAAATTATTTTTAAACATTTTTTAAAAAATCCATCGAAAGAATTCAACAATATCAATAAACAGTAAATTTTTCACAGGAATTCAATTATTTTAAATACAATAATTATAAAATTCTTCTCAAAAATTAACTTATTTTTTCTAAATTTTGCAAAAATTTAATTATTTTTTTGTATGAATTCTATTGAAGAATTCATTTATTTTCAGAAATAATTAAATTGTCAATGTACTGAAAATCATTGAATTCTTGTCAAGTATTTATAAAAAAAATATTTAAAAAAAATTCTTGAATTTATTTCAAGAATTTTATCCATTTTTTTCAATAATTTATTGAATTCTTTCGAGAAAATGTAATTAAAATTGTATTCTTGGCAACATTTTTTTCTAATTTAAATTTTTGTTCAAAATACTAAAAAAATTCAATTTTCGAGAAATTACAAAAAATTGCAGAAATTCAATTATTTTCAAAAAAAAAAAAATAAAATTCAACTATACGTTCAAAATTTGAAAAAAATTCTCGTAAAAATCCCAATTTTCTTTATAAATAGGTAACAAAATTCTTCTCTAAAGTTCAATTCTTTTTCATAAATGTCAAAAAAATTCTTGTCCTAATTTCAATTATTTTCAAAAATAAAATGCATTTTTCTAATTTCAATGATTTTCAATATCTACTATTTTAAAAAAATTTCCCAAAAATAATTCAATTATTTGAAAAAAATCTTAATAAAATTGAATGCAAACATTTAATTATTTTCATAAACAATAAAAATTTCGCAGGAATTCAATTATTTTCATAAATAATAAATTTTTTTCAAAGAATTCAATTATTTTCATAAAAAATAATTTTAAATTCTAAAAATAATAATTAAATGAAAATGATGAAAATAATTTTGATGAAATTACAGTAACAATATTCTTATAATATAAATTAATGATTTTATCCCTCGGTTAGAAATTTTAAAAAACTTAAATTTTTGCACAATGTTAATAATTCAAATTCTTCTTCAAATTAATTAAATTTGTCAATTTATATTTAATTAATTATTAAAAATAATGGATTTATAGAAAAATTTTAGTTAAAAGCCTTTTTGAAAAATTGAATTTTTAAGAAGTTACAAATGATTGAAGAAATTCAATTATTTTCAAAATTAATAAAAAATTTTCTTACGAAAGTTCAATTATGTTCAAAATTTAAAGAAAAATTTCTTGTCAAAAACACAATTATCGTTATAAATAAGAAAATTCTTCTCCAAAATTCAATTAATTTCAAAAATTTTCAATATTATTTACTATTTTAATAAACTTCCAAAAAGAATTCAATTATTTTAAAAAATTTTAACAAAATGATTCTTCAATTAATTATTAATTATTAAATTATTTTCATAAATAATAAAAATTGCACAGGAATTCAATTATTAACAAATTTTTCTTTAATAATTTAATTAATTTCATAAAAAATAAATTTTTTTTCAAATTCAATTATTTTTATAAATTATAAATTTGTTTTAGGAATTTAATTATTTTCATCAATAATAAAGCTCATCGTAGAATTTTAATTATTTTTAGTCCAATTTTAATCAAATTCTTCGAAAAATGGAATTATTCTTAAAAATTTTATTAAAATTCGTCAAAAGAATTCAATTATTTAAAAATTTGTTCATAAAATTCTTTATGAAAATTGAATTTTTAAAAAGATTCAATTTTTCATTAAATTATTTACTTTTCTATTTAAATAATTGAATAATTTTAAAAAAAGTTTTAAATTAAAATATTTGAAAATTTGAATTTTCTGTACGTTTAACTGGCAATTTTAAAGAATTAATTTTTTTAAAAAAGTTTAATTTACTTTTTTTTAAATAATTTGAAGTTACATGGAAGTTAAATGAAAATTTTTTCAAATTCTCAGAAATTTTTCTATATTTTTATAAGGAAATTTTCCTAAACGTTTAAGAGAATTTTTCCAAACTTTTGGGATTTTTTTTCATGGGAATATTTTTAAATTTATAGGATGTTTTCGATAATTTTTTGAGAAAAATTCCCTTATTCTCCAAGAACTTTTTCAAAAATTATTAAAAATAGTTGATTTAGAGAAGAATTTTAGTTAAAGCTTCTAGATAATAATAATTGAATTGAAATGATGAAAATAATTTTTAATTCAATTATTTAAAAATTTGTTGATAAAATTCTTTATAAGAATTAAATTTTTAAAAAAATTCAATTAAGTAGGTAAATTATTTACTTTTCTATTTAAATAATTGAATAATTTTAAAAAAAGTTTTAAATTTTCAAATGTTATCGGATCAAGACTATCAAAGTATCTTAGAATAAGGTGCCTTCTTTTTACATTGAAGAAGGTTAAAAAAAATAAATATATAGATAGATTTTATAAGATTTTATAATATTGACATCAATATAAATAATTAAAAGAGAATTTAATTATGAGGTGAAAAAATCAGGAAAGTAAAATCTAGTAAATTGCATGTATATACATATAAAGTTTTCTACTTATTTTAAAACGAAATAAATAAAAACTTACGTGACTGAGTCTGATCCATTGATTGTTGGTTTGGGTGACTGAATACCGGATCTAGCTGGCGTGCCGGTATGCACAGGTGATGGTCCTTTATTTCCTAGGGGTTGTTTTATGCTGCAATAGAAAGCAAGTACAATAATTTTAGGTTGAGTACATAAAGGAAAACGTCAGCTGGGAATATAATGTTTTTGCAACTTTCAACCGGTACATTTCAAAGGTACTTTCAAAGTATAAAGGAAAAATAGGAAGATTTCAAAAGCTTTTTTTTCTTTATAAATTATTTTTATAATAAGTACTCATTATGTAAATTTTAAATATAAAAAAAATTTATTTGCCTTAAATTAAAAACTTGTTAATGATGAATATTTGGTAAATGATGGTTCCTGTATAAATCGCGAATTATGGACATTATAATGTTTCACGCAAGACGAAGCAGGTTAAACATATACATTTTCCGTTATGATCCAAGTGTATAGCATACAAAATCATTAAGCGAACACCTATATAATTAAGTGAATTACCAATGAATAATCTTTAAAAATCCGTTTTTTGTAAAATAACAAAACCAATCAGAAAAAAATTATTAAATTGACTATTCATCGATTCGCAGAAATAAAAAATTATTCTGGTAATAAATTCATCCATAACTTTTTGCGAGTTTCAATAAAAAATAAAGAAGCTAACTTTTATTAACATTTAATAATTGGATTCAATTTTCAGGCAGTCTTCGTTGATTTTGTGAGTTTTAATCAGAGAAACTTTTGTTAGCTATAAATAAAAATAAGTAGTAAAAAAAAAAAAAAAATAAAAATCTGTTCTCTGGGTGCGTATAATATTTACCGGTTAACGCAAGGCGGTGTGCTGCCGGAACTCCTCAGACTGCATGTACTACTGTGATTGTTCTGTTTCATGTAAACCGGTCGATTATTCACAGACACACTGACACGTTCCGCGATACGAAAACGTGGAGTCGTTGGCTTATGATACAACATTGTTATCAATCTTGATCACACACTTGTTATATGACAACTTATTGCGAAGAACATTTTAAGCCGAGGATGAGTTAAAAAATTTCCAGAGTCTTTAAACAACTTTTCTGTAGGTATTTATTTTTTTATTTTAAAATCAATTTTCAAAAAAAAAAATGATCGTTTCGTTTTATTCCAGCTATTAAAAAAGATTCACTGATTGACACATCTTTTGGATTTCAAATTTTTAGTTTACTGATCAACTTGAAAAAATTACATTCTAAATTTATAAATATTTATTTTAGGCTTATTCTTATTTAAAAAAAAAACAAAGTATACTTTTAATCAGAAATATTTTTGTTTTTTTTTTCCTTTAAACAGGACTCGAACCAGTAAAAGTATTCAAAAATGTACGGACCTTACGGACCAAAAAGGAAAAATTACGGATTAATTACTGACAAAAATATAATCAGTCCGAGTCAAATAAAAGAACATTCTACTTAAAACTAAAAATTTAATTTTTCATAATTATAAAACATGAAGATATCGATAACTCCGAGTCTTCGACTCGGAGTGATCGATTTCTTCATGTTTTATAATCAAAGATGACCAAATGATAAAATCATTATCAATCCAATTACTATTTTCAAGAATTTTTAACTAAAATTCTTCTTTAAATCAATTTTTTTTAATAATTTTCGAAAAAGTTCTTTGACAATTTTCAAATCCATTTGTTTACAATATTCAATTTTACGAAATTTCAATTATTCGTTAAAATTCAACTAAAATTCTTCAAAAAATTAATTTCAAATTATTATTTCTAAAATTTCTAAAAATTTAATATTCAATTATTATATCTACAATTTTAATCTAAAATTCATTTTTAAATCAATTTTTATTAAAAAATTCTACTAGAATTAAATTACTTAAATACTAATTTTATAATAATTTATTGAATAAATAAATGTTTCTTAAAATTCAATTCCCATAAAAAATTTTGTCAAAAAAATTTTTTAAATAATTGAATTCTTTCGACGAATTTTAATAAAATTTTTAAAAATAATTTCATTTTTCGAGAAATTTGATTAAAATCAAGTAAAAATAATTGAAATTTTGCGATGATTAGTATTATTTATGAAAATAATTCAATCTGTAAGAAGAATTTTATTATTTTTAAACAATATTTAATTCAATATAAATTTTTAAATAACAAATGAATTTGAAAATTCTTAAAGAACTTTTTCCAAAAATTTTTTAAAAAAATTTATTTATAGAAGAAATTTTAGTTAAAAACACGTTAAAAAAATTTAATTTTAGAAAAGTTACAAATTATTGCAGAAATTTGTAACTTTTCCAAAATTAAATTTTTTACGTGTTTTTAACTAAAATTCTTCAATAAAAAAATTATTTTATAAAATCTTTGAAAAATTTCTTTGAGGCTTTTTTTTCAAATTCATTTGTTTACAATTAAATTATACAAAATTTCAGTTATTTGTAGATTCTTCAATTAAAAATATATTAGAAAATAAAAAATTCAAATAATATAAAAAAAAACAATGAAACTTTTTCAAAAAAATTAATTTTACAGAATTTTCAGTTAAAAATATCAAAAATTCATATTTTCAAAGATTTAAATTTTGAAACCTTTTCAAAATTCAATTATTTATAAAAATTCACTCTTTAATGCTTATAATATTCAAATATAATCTAAAATTTTAACTAAAATTCATTTTTGAATCAATTTTTATTAAAAAATTCAACTATAGAATTCAATTAATTAAATACAAAAAAATCAATTTATTGAATAATTATTCATGTTTCTTAAAATTGAATTCCCATAAAAAAGTTTATCAACAAATTTTTAAATGATTGAATTCTTTTGAAGAATTGAAAAATTTAAAAATAATTGAAATTCTCGAATGAGTTTTATTATTTAAGAAAGTAATTGAATTCCAAAACAGAATTTTATTATTTAAGAAAATAATAATTGAATTCCAAAAAAGAATTTTATTATTTACGAAAATAATTGATTCTCTGTAAAAATGTTATTATTTATGAAAATAATTGAATGATTGCAAAGAAATTGATAAAAAATTTGTAAATAATTGAATTCCTGTGAAATTTTTAATATTTCATGGAAATAATTAAAGGTTTGCGTAGAATTTTATTCAATTTTTTTGTAAATAATTGAATTCTTTTGGAAAATTTTATTAAAATTGCAGATATTAAAAATCATTGAATTGAAGAAAATTTCTGACAATAATTGAAATTTTGCAAGATATTAAAAATCATTAAATTGAGGAAAATTTTTGAAAATAATTGAAATTTTGCCGAGAATTTTTATTAAAATTTTTGATAATCCTGATTAAATTCTTTTGAAGAATTTCTTTGAATTTTTTTTTTAAATAATTGAGTTTCTTTAATAAATTTAATTGAAAATTTTCAAAGTAATTGAATTTTATATGAACAATTTCCTTCCAGTTTTTACAATAATCGTGTTTCTTAATAATTGAAATTAAACATTTAATTCTTGAATTTTATTAAAATTTTATGAATATAATTGAATTCTTTCGAAAATTTTTTTTTATTCATTGAATACAATCGAATTTGTTAATAATTGTATTAAAAATATTTGATTTCCTCAGAAGAATTTTATTATTTATGCAAAATAATTTAATTTTTATTATGAATTTTACTATACTTATAAAAATAATTGAATTATTGTTTCGAAGGATTTATTAAAATTTTAGAAAATAATTGGATTCTTTTGAACAATGTTATTAAAAAATTTTTTTTAAACTTGAATTCTTTAATGAAATTTTATTAAAATTGTATTTAAAATAATTGAATTTTTGCAAAGAATTTTAAGACTATTTAATATAAAAATAATTGATTACCTTTGAAGAATTTTGTTATTTCGCTAAATAATTGAATTTTTTCAAGAATTTTGTTAAAATTTTTAAAAATAATTGAATTTTAGAGAAGAATTTTAATATTTATAAAAATAATTAAAATTTTGATGAAAATTTAAAAAAATTTTTGAACATAATTGAATTTCTGCAAAGAATTTTATTGACTTTTGAAAATAATTGAATTTTTGCAATCATTTGTAATTTTTCAAAAATTCTCCAAATTTACTCGTACAATTTAAGAAATTTTATTGCTTTTAAAAAACCTTTTTTCAAAAAAACTGACTTTTTACGGACTTTAAACAAATTTACGGACCTAGTTCGAGTCCTGTAATTTTTGAAAATATTTATAGTGAAAAAGTATTTCACGTTACAACTAACGTTAAGAATTTATCAGTTTCACGAATTTTGTTTCACTTCCACTTAAAACTCACGGTCAACTTACAACTTTTTAAATTAAAAAAAAACCACAAACTGTTTTCTAACCCGAAATAAAATCAAGAAACGGAAAAAAACTGAATTTTTGTTGTGTAGAGACGAAGAAAAATTGTAAAATACAACTGTATTTAAATAACACACTACCGTTCTGTAAGTACGCTGTAGACTATCTGAGAGCACTGAGAGGCCCTCGCTTGTAACACAGCATGCGTTGTGTCCTGGGTACAAGTGTGTGTTTGTGTGCACTCGAGTATGATAAAAGTATACACGCGTGTAAAAATCATAAGCACACATGTATCCCAATGGCTTTGTATGCTGGTATATATTATGACTTCGGTCGGTAAGTACCGCCGGTATATATCGTTATTTTTTTTTTAAATCGCGTCTTTGATTTGCGCTCGCAATAATTGTGCAAAAGCATCACTGCATATGCACTTTTCAATGAGCAATCAACTGATAATTGTGGAATGAGAAAATTTCTCCTCAATTCAATTAGTGAAAATTATTGCATGTCATTTTTCATGGAATTTAAATTTATCACAATTGAAAATTTCACTCTCTAATTTTCCTATATTACAGTTTCGTCTGTGTCATCTTTCTTCTTTCGACTATAATAATCATTTTACTAAAACAGAAATTAACACTTTAACATTGTATCTTAAAAATTTAAATTTTATAATAATTTAAAATTAAATTTATTTTATAATTTATTTTTATTCAACATTTAAATTTAATTTACAATTCAATTAAGTATTTTCAAAAACTTTCTTAAATTCTTCTCAAAATTTCAATTATCTTT